TGTGTGTGGGGGGGGGGGGTCGCAACTTCCAACAGGAGTCAGTTGGGGGGGCTCTTGGGAAAAAAGGTTGGGAACTCCTGTTCTAAGAGAACAGCTGGTTGAAATAGACCTGTGTAGTGATGGATGTTTTAAACTGTTACAAATATCAAGGGATTAATATTCATTTATTCAAATTGGTAAAAACTGTGGCCCCAAAAAATTCTGCAAACCTATTTTTACTATCTTTGCCAGATAGCAACAGCCGCTATACTTCACTGAGATGCGTCATAATAATAATACATTTGATTTATCAAGCGCTTTATCAAGAGCTCAAAGACACTTTACAGAGGTAAGACAAAATAATATAAGCTCATAGGAGCAGCAATACATGCTAGTTAACTTGGAAATGAAATGCCTCTTCCCCTACCGATTACAAGGCTCTGTATTTCAATCTGCTACTGTCTTCTGCGAGCTCCTCGCAGTGGAATCGTGAAAACTTGATGCCAAGAAGATCCTTGTCACAATGAGGTTTTCGGTGAGAGAAACCAAGTGGTTTCTGATTGGAAACCACCGAGCAAACAGCCTGAAGCAACAGCAAATTAGGCCATGATCACGCCAGCAGAATGAGAGTGCAGATCTCTGTAACAAACTACATTTTCTTTACAAATATCATATGAGAAGTACTAATTTCAAGTGTGTATTTTGCACAATTCAGTCCAAATATATCCCTAACAGTTAAATTACAAAAGAGTTTAAGATTGAAATCATTCTGTTCTTATCAAGTAAGGACAGTGCGTTGTGTGAGATTCATTTTCCTTGTAAACGGAAAGCAGCTTTATTCGTGATTTACCTTTGGTCTACTTAGTTTTGAATTGTTCTTTAAGTGCTCTGAAATGATTGAAGCACATATGAGTAAGGATTGCTAATGCCCATTACTCACTTTTATTTAAAGGCAAGCACAAATACATACTGAAGAAAAGAAAAACGTTTTAAAAGCATTTACTGTCAGTCTCCATGCAAATGATTTATACGCTCTGCGACTGGGAACAAACGTTGTGCTTATATAGAACAAATAATAATAAAGGACCAACCGAGGACATTTTCACACGTTACCCTGTCACGTTAAGATGTTTTTATTGCAACCCCTTGTTCTGCCTGTCTGTCTGTCTTCTCTGAAAATGCACCTGTCTCAGTTCAAGGTCATGGTCTGGTGATGTTGAGGCTGAGACGGTGCAGACCAGCGTTTCCCGGAATCTTAATTCCACTCAATCTTCTGTTTAGTCTATCACAGACCCTGCCACCGCCAAATAATCAAAACACCCTCAAAGCTTTTCCCTTTGGGAAAGCTTCCTGCATTGTTGATCGTGTCACGGACTGACCTCCGACACTCAGCCTGCACGAAAACACTGCTGCTGCCGTCTCTTTCACACGGGACCTGGGTGTTGAATGCTGCTTTCTTTCTCTTCTGTTTTGGTCAGATACACTCTGGATGAGTTTGGGACTGCGCGCAGGTGTGCGGTGGTGCGAGGCTTCATCGACGCCCTCACCCGCGGTGGGATAGGAGGGACGCCACGCCCCATAGAGATGCATTCACATGACCCTATGAGGTACATCACATGTTTGAGCAAAACATTGCCATTTCTTACTGTAATTAAATCACAAGGAGCCTTTGGTTCTGTTGGAAAAGCGACCTTTTGTTGTTGCCAGAGTCTGAGAAACTCATGGATCATCTCTCTGCAGTGAGTTTGAAGGCTTACTGAATAAGGAGTTTGAATCTAAGGTCGGTTAAAGGATATCTACAAAATCGAAGATAAATCTCACCTGAAAAAAAAGCAACATCTACATAATTCATCTTTGATTAATAGATACTGGAAAAACAAGTTGTTATTATTATTTATTATGTATTTAAACAGTCTGACATCACTTTTGAAAAATGTTTTGGTTGTTTCAAATTGTTAACCGTTTACATTGGGGACACAACCACTCATGATCACAAATGATACAGTTAATTAAAAACGACATTATACTCTCAAAGAAATTCACATGGAAACAATGGTTTTATTTAATAACGTGTTTATTGGTTCAGTTTATATGGTGATAATGTTAGGATCCAGTCCACTTTGTGTTAATGAAGGCAGTGCCGCAATTAAGGGCATGGAAGTAGAGAAAAGCTTGCGTAAGATTATTCTGTATTCGAAAGTAAATTAACACACAAAGGTAAAGGTTACTTTCAATCACGATAAATCTACTTATAGACACTTTTTACACACATGTTTTTAGTATTCCTAATTCCCCGTAGGTCAAGAATAAGTATAAATCTATTTTCTTCCTGTTACACAAATAACATTTGTTGGCTCCGGCTAGCTTCATTTTTATGTTCTCAGAGAAATGCACATTTAAAAAACGGAAAGGTACTCAAAATAACCCTGTGAAACTGGTGTAACTCTTGTTGACAATGTGTTTAATAATTACATTTAGAATCCATTCAGTTTATGTAAATATTGCAATGTTTTTTTTAATCCAATCATATCCAATTCTAGAAGATGTAAAATCTTCATTTGTGTGTGAGTGTTTCTGTGTTTCCTGTTGTACCACATCCCCTTCCCTCTGCCTCATGTGCCCGGGAGCCAAATGGGAGATTTTCTTAGAACATGAGCCGTGTGTGGAACACAAAATCACCTCCACTTTATAGCAGCCATCAGTAGTTCTGAGAACATCTAGTCCTTTCTCACCTTTCCATGTCATCACACGCTCACAAACACACACTCATACACTTAACACACAATAATTCAAGTTTAACCTTTCTGTTTTCCCCCGTTACGCAACACCAAAAGCCGTGTGTTTGTGAGTGAAACATGATGAGCCATGCCTGGATGGAGCTGTGGTCCGGGCATGGTAAGATTTGCCCTCAGCGTGGCCCCTCACTGACACACTGTGTACATCTTTCAGGTATGTTGGGGACATGCTGGCCTGGCTGCACCAAGCCACCGCCTCAGAGAAAGAGCACCTTGAAGCTCTGCTCAAACAAGTCACTGTGCAAGGTAGGAAGTTTCCTGCTTCATAATTACATTTTCTGCAGTTCTCCAGTATTCCCAGTCCATGCCAAACCTTCATGTACAAATGATTCACAACTACAGCTTTTTTCCTTTTCTTCATTGAATATTGCCTTTATCGTCTCAGTTGCTTTGTTGAGTTTTTGATTTGGTGTATATTGCAAGTGTAGGTGCTTGTAAACATATGTCACACAGGCTGGTCACAATGGCAACTTGTTTATTGGATAGAGTATGGGAAATCAGTCACTCAGTAAGCCTACATTTGTGAGTGTAAACGGATCTAATTCCAGCACGTTTGATTCAGCTGATGACTGATCCTGTTGTTGTGTTCCTAATCTAACTTCCTATAGCAGTCAGCAGTGAACGCAGCACAGTAGGGGTATCATTCAGCTCCATTTAAAAAAAATAAAAAAAGAAGAAAAAAAAGATGAGCTATCATACGGAGCCCTGGAGGGTTCATAGAGAGAAAAATAAATAAGACGTGGCCACGTTTTACTTTCTCGTTCGCACGAGTTACTAAAGCGTGCGCACGAGTTAATAAAGTGTGTGTGTGTGTGTGTGTGTGTGTGTGTGTGTGTGTGTGTGTGTGTGTGTGTGTGTGTGTGTGTGTATGATAGTATCGTTCGTTCCGGTCCACTCCGGCAGAACTATAGCACTACATCGAGATTAGGATTAAACAAATGTCTTTCACTTGGAAATACACATATAACTATGGAGAACCAGATTTGTGTAAATTACTGTTCGTGGTAATTTTGAAAACAAATGCCGGTGGTGTCGGACACACACAAACAAACCAAACACACACGCGGAGCTGAGCACACACACACACACACACACACAACACACACACAACACACACACATACACACACACAACACACACACAGAGAGACACACACACACACACACACACACACACACACACACACACACACACACACACCCACATACACACACACACACACACACACACACGACACACACACACACACACACACACACACACACACTACACACACACACACACACACACACACACTACACACACACACACACACACACACACACACACACACACACACACACACACACACACACACACACACACACACACACACACACAAACTCACTCTCAAACACACACACACACACATCCACATACACAGACACACACACACACACACACATCATGCGCCCTGGTGACCGGACATCTCCTTCATAACACGAGGGGGAATACTCTGGTAGTTCGATGTGTGTAGAGGTGTGTGTGGTTAAACGTAGCAGCCTTGATCTCTATTCAGCTGTTCTAATGAAGGGAAACGCAGTGAAGTAAACAGTAAAAGGCACAGCTCTTTGCAGCTGGTGCTGCTCTTCTCAGATTCTGCTGAGTTACACGTTACTGCCTCCAGTGCCCTGTACAACGAAGCCAGTTCAACAGACCCTGGATATGTTTGAGTTACCCGGCTTAACTAACCCTAACAAACGCGATGTCGATAAGCGGTCCTACGAAGCTGGTTATCAACTCAGTAAATCAACCAGGGTTTCTCTGACCGGCTGAGAGCGCGTTCACCTGAAAGGGACGGGGTTAGCAACATTTGACCAATCACAAACATGGAGACGCGTGCTGACAGCGCAGCGTCATACTTCATGAATGAATAGTGTAAATGCTGCTTCGTATAGTACAGGCCACTGGTGCCGCAGAGATTTCATAAAGTGAAGGAGGTTTGGTTTNAAGTTAAATATCTGCCACAACATAAGTAACCGGATCAGAGTAACATTAAGTACAGTCCGTGGCATATCACATCATAATGTATCATATATCTCCTTATCTGAGTCAGCTGAGCCGTATCTGGCCGTGCAACACTTACAGTGTCACATACTGTATGCAGAAGTCATATTTTAAGCAACACATTAAGTTGACGCAACACTCCTGACTAATGTAATTAAAGTCAGATCCACTCGTGTCTTAGATGGGGCAGTGATATCATAAACCTGTTAATGTACGCATTCAAACTCTTTTTCTTTTACCAGCTGTGTTCACCTTGCAGGTGCAGCTATGTGGCTTTTATCCTGGATAAAGTGTTTAAGTCATGGATGTTTCAAGTTTAACGTCTTCATATGTGTCTAATTATATAGTTGACTTTTCATTCAGGGAGTATGATGATGCGCTGTCAGTACGCTTGTCCATGTTTGTGACTGGTCGAATGCTCCAAATACCACCCCTTTCATGTGAACGCGCACCTAACTAGATAGGACACGGCTGGCTTGAGCGATCCACTTGATGACCCGCGTCGTAGTACCGTTTAGCGAGACCGCGTATGTTTTGGATTAGGCCAACCGGCTAACTCAAACATACCCAGGTTAGGTTGAACCAGCTTCGTAGTATACCCCCCAGGGCGTGTGTGTTTGTGTGTGTATGTGTATGTGTGTGTGTGTGTGTATGTGTGTGTGTGTGTGTGTGTGTGTGTGGGCATTTGTTTTATGATAGTATCGTTCGTTCCTGTGTGTGTTTCTCTGTCCGGCTGAGAGCGCGTTCACGTGAAAGGGACGGGGTTAGCAACATTTGACCAATCACAAACAGGGAGACGCGTGCTGACAGCGCAGCGTCATACTTCATGAATGAATAGTGTAAATAGCAAATCCTGCTTCGTAGTACAGGCCACTGGTGCCGCAGAGATCTCATAAAGTGAAGGAGGTTTTCCTTCTATAAAACAGCTGTGGGCAGCAGATACTGTGAGTCACGGACAGGAATCCCTTCAATTGAAATAAAACGAGGCCACGCTTTATTAACTTGTGCGAACGAGAAAGTAAAACGTGGCCACGTTTTATTTATTTTTCTCTCAATGAACCCTCCAGGGCTCCGTACTATCAAGTCCAGGCTATCAATTGTCCTCATTTATCTCCTGACACCTTTTTGTTAGTTTTCTCTAGTTCATTGTAATATGATTATCATATTACATTTTACTCCTTTTTCTATATTTATATTTCTGTATGAATTCATTCCTCAATGGCCTTGACTAATTGTGTGTGTCTTTCACTTAGGTGTGGAGGAGAACATGCAGGAGTCGGTTGGACACATCACTGAGGGAGTCTGCAGGCCGCTTAAAGTAAGCAACACATTTGTTCACACTGCTAACACTGACTAGCTCTGTTGAAGGCAGACCGTGTTGAGTTGAGTTCTGCTCACATCTTCACGGTGTGATCTGTCCCTCAGGTTCGGATTGAACAGGTCATTGTGGCGGAGCCCGGAGCTGTCCTGCTTTACAAGCTGTCCAACCTGCTCAAGTTCTACCACCACACCATCAGGTATTTCAACTCACTCGGCAAAATAGCGCAACAATTTATACATTTTTCCCTCCAATTTATTTTTAGAATCAGTCAATAATTTAAGTCATCTGTAAAGCAAAACATACTTTGATTAATTTGATTGCTAATATGGGAATAAGCTGCTTTTTGTTTGTGTATCATTGATCAATGAAATATATTGATTAGCATTTTTCCAAAACATTTGGGGAAGTCAGCTGGACAAAACTATTCTTTTTTTTGCTGTCATTTTTTATTTTCAAGTCAACATTTCTGATCAATCTTTGATCTTTGTGCAGCTCCATCATTGGAACGAGTGTGGCCTCCTTGCTCATCAATATTGAAGAAATGCACATCCTCAGCAAAAAGATGTTCTTCAACAGCCTGAGCATGCACGCAAGCAGATTGATGGACAAGGTACGACATGAATAGGAAGATTATTATTTGAATAATATCCCCATTATTTCTATTATCTTCTACGGTTGTGAGAAAATGCGAGTAAAACAACACCATCACCAAAAGAAGAAGAAGAAGAAGCTTTGTTTTTCCAATAGAGACAGTTTGCAATGTTCTCTCATAAAAGCTTAAATGACAGTGCAGAAGTTGAGTATGCACCCTGTGGACACATATTGTGTATTTCAGCTCTGCTTTGAAACCCTCAAAGACAACAAGGCTATTTTGAAGCGCTTATGCCTGTAAACAGTTTCAGCCTGCTGGCCACAGCATCAAAATGGCGCTAGCTGCCAAAAAACACCAAATGTACCGCTTAGTTAAATTGCCATCCAAATATACCTAAGCACGAGCGGTAGCTCTTCTATATAACATGCTGGCTTTGTCCTGATCGATAGCAGTTACAAGAATGATCCCCGTAGCTCGGTGTTAATCACATTGGAGACTCTCAGGGTTTTGGTGTAAATTCAATCTAATGCCAGGAACACAGGCTTCTCATAATTCGCTCTATTAGGTGGACAACGGTGACTTGGATCAGTTCTGTGTTGTGTATCCAGAAGCCAATGAAATCAAAACCCTCTTCATTAAAAAAAGCTCTAGTGACTGAACAAGCTGAGGCTCAGAGTAGCAGCGGGAAGTGTGTGTATGGTTGGTCTATCATGCTGCTCATTAGGGATGCTTTGAGAATGTGTCACCGCTTGTCTCAGTAAACGCTACAGCTGTCACACAGCTAACCTCTGCAAGAATAACTTTGCTCTTTATCCAACTTAATAAAACGTATTTTGACCGTGTCTGTCTGGGCAGGTGGAGCTACCACCCGCAGACCTGGGACCCACAGCCTCCCTCACGCAGACCCTCTCCCTCCTCAGGGAGGTGCTGGCCTCCCACGATTCCTCAGTGGTTCCTCTGGATGCCCGCCAGGCTGACTTTGCTCAGGTAAACTCATTTGAAAAAGGAAAACTCTTCTCCCTTTTTATTATCTATATAATCATATCAAAATGTGTTTATGTTACCTGTTTATCCAAGCCATTGATATTTGCCTCGTCTCTTAAGGCTTTCTTTTATTTCCCCAGGTGCTCTCTTGCATCCTGGATCCTCTCCTGCAGTTATGCACTGTGTCTGCCAGTAACCTCGGCACTGCAGACATGGCTTCCTACATGGTCAACTCACTGTATGTCATGAAGACCACCCTGGCTCTCTTTGAGTTCACTGACAAGAGGCTTGAGATGCTGGAGTTCCAGGTCTGTCCTAATTGTCAAAAAGTATCAACCAATTAAAAGTGATTTAGATTTTCTTTCATGGTTTAGGCATCTATTTTATTCTATTAAAGTGTTTCAAGAGCATAAAACAAATAAAGACGGACCTTAGTTGGACTACTAGACCATTGGACTGAATCATGGAACACTAACGCCATCCAACATTAGAACCTAGCCAACAACATAATCGTCTGTGCGTAGGGGCAATAATGTTCCTTTCATTAAATCCCATAGAGCATAAATCCTTTATTTAAAAAAAGAGTTAATTTGCTGTCTCATAGAAGGGTGTTGCGTCATGCATTGTTGCTCACTTTCGAATGTAGCATCTATCCTCTATTTAAAGCCCACCTTTTGTAATTTAGCACCATGAGAGCTCCTGTGGAAGTTTCATTATCAATAGCACCGAGGTTCTCTATTAGCCTCAAGTACCATCGGCTCACAATGTGCGCTTGGGCACGAGGCTAAGCCACTCTCTCCCACATTTCACAGATCGAGGCCCACCTTGACACTCTGATCAACGAGCAGGCGTCCTTCGTGCTGACCAGAGCCGGACTGAGTTACTTCTACAGCATCGTCCAGCAGCATAGCGCTGAGCAGGTCTCACAAACGACACTTTAATACCCATTTACACACACTTCAAGTTGCAGAACTGTGTTTTTTTTTTATCACATTTCTCCTGTAAGTCCCCCTACTAACTAACATAATTGTTTCCACTACCTCTTTGGGCTGTACAATAAATATCGCTATGGTTACCACATGACCAATCTCTTTATTAGGGCATAATAGCATTTCTATCACATGTTCAGATGAGAGACAGAGAGGGGCAGATCATATTATGTTCTTATGCAGATATTTTTTAGCTTCTCCAGAATGTTGCCGTGCAGATGAGAGCCAATGCCAGAGCCTTCCTCCCTCTTTTCAACACTCTTTGCCACTGGGCTGACTAAGACCCATAGTTGTGGTTTAGCATGCGAGTCTGAAGGCCAGGGTCATGTCAGGACAGACCACACCCCACTGCTGCAGCTCCATGCAGAGCTCAATCAAGAACTGTCATTCTTCTGCAGAATACCTCTCTCCTCGGGTGGCCTGTCTCGGGTTTCCTTTAAATAGTCTTCTGTTTAAAAGGATTGGATTTAGCTCTCCACACTCGATGGCATACCAGATGTCAACTATTTTAAAGAATACCCACATTTGAAAAGGTTTCATTTCACTATCTGCTTATTGTATCCCTGTAATTATCTGTGATACGTCAGACAAACAAGTCAGACACAAGAAAACAGTGATTACAACAACACTGGTTTTAGCTGGCAGATGAGCGGGCTCATAATGTGTTTGTTAATGTGCCCACATCCCCATGTAATCACTCTGGGTGCTGCGCTGTAGCTTTGACCCTTGCACTGCCTTTTATTTGCTGCTTTTAATGTTGGCAATTTAGGCGTTTAAGCTCGACTTAGTGTTGCCATTCTGGATAATCAGTGTCGCGTAATTGCCTTTAAGGTACCGGCTGTGTGGTTCACAGAGTCAGTCATTTTATTGCCTATCAAGATTTAGGCAGGGAATTGTTCTTGTTTTCCCTGTTTAAAAATCAAGACTCAGCATTTACAGCTTTTATAAAACACATTGTGTTCCCCCGATAAATATGCTTGTCGCTGAAAATAAACCTTATTAAATAAAAAAAACTATAAATCCCTTTTCTTCCTAGACCTCTTCTCTTTGCCGTTACTAATAAGCCATCTAAATTGTAAGCCAGCTCAATAAAGAAAGTTTCCTGTACTGTACATGCACCTATTATACTCATTGAGATAAATGTGACATTTTATTATGATCCAGATCATATCGTCCTGCCCTTGTGTAAATCATCTTCCTTTCATGCAAGGTTAGAAGGAGTAAACCTCAAAGATAAAACGATTTTTTTTCAAACCCTCCCCCGTAACCAAAGACAGATAAATTATCCTTATTACCCGTTTATGGGGCCGGAGGTAAAGTCATATTGCGCCCAGCCTCCTCCGGTTGTATCCACTGCTGAGGGCAATGTAGACAAACATTAAAGGGGGTAAATGTTTTAACACAGCCTGTAGTCTAAACGCGACAAAGGACCACCTGACTTTCTGCTGTTCAAACTCTGTGACCTTGAGTTGGATTCTATGCTGATGTTTACTTTTCTGTTTCAGGGTCCCCTCTCCCTCCTCCCCAGCATGGACGGCTCTTCTGTGAAAGCTGCAATGGTGAGTTACTCTCTGTGTATAAATGCAGCAACTTCACCTGCAGGAATCGTACGTTCTCACTTGATGATTGTGACTCTTTGAATCACCAACTGCTCTCGTCTCTCTCTCAAACAACAGGTCCAGTTCGATCGCTACTTGTCGTCGCCGGACACTCTTGTGATGCCCCAGCTCAACTTCCTGCTCAGTGCAGCCATCAAGTGAGTCCCTGTCCTTAGTTGACAGGAGTAAGAACATGCGATATTCGAGCTTCATGGTAAATGTTTATGAAATCGGGTGGTGCTTCAACAGAGAATTTCAGACTGGTATAAACAGGAGCGTTGGCCTGAACATGTTCAGCGTTCATTAGTTTCCCTGCTGCAATACGATCATTACTGCATTCCAAACAAAACACTCCACTAAATGCATGGCGCGTTTGGATGCTAAATTGTTGAAGCCTAAAACACAGTGAGAGAGTGTTCGGCCGGACCGCCTGTCTTACTGATCAGAACATGCACATGCTTTTAGCTCAATCCAGCTGCTACATCGGAGAGCTCTTTCTATGAGTCACGTTTACTGGGAAGTGCAGCAGGCTTGAGAAGCACTCTGTACCTCAGGTTAATGTTCTCTATTAATGGACATGGGAGGACTGATGGGCAGGACGCCATTAATTAGCTTCTGGTCCATTTCTCACTCACACTCGTTCCCTGAAATCATTCCTCCTCTTTGTCTTTTTCTCTCTCTCCCGCACTCTCTCAAGTCGGCCGCTCTGCTCACCTAAATACACAAAAACACCCGCAGCACTCTGAAAACACTCCGGCTGCCCACCAATAATGGCTATGTACTTTTAGACTACCGTTGTTTTACTTTTCTTGTTAGTGTCCTGGGTATAGAGTAAGGTGTTATACGCAGGACTGCGTTTCTTTCTCCTCTGTGGGCCAATTAAAACAATTTGATCTCAAGAGCCTGAGAGGACTGGTTCCTAGTCTTTTTCAGTATCCTCCGTTTGTACTACATTGCAAGAAGTAGTCCCATTATGTCCTTCATTTAACGGTACATGTTGTTCTTATTGCTAAATAAAATAATAAAGAAAAATGATGTAGAACTAAATTAATAAACAAAATCCAAAGAGACTAAATATGTTTTAACTAATTAGTTTTCATAGAAATGCTTTTGAAAAAACAACAAAGAAAAGAGCAAAGCCACCTCTTTTTTTACAAACTATAACATTTACTATATTTTCTATGTAAGACCAAGCGAAGCAGGACATTTACTGACATTTATGCTTATAAAATTACTGCAACATGACTTGATTATCAATATATTTGCTAAATAACATCCTTTTCATGGACTAATTCAAACACAAATCTGAAGGACATTTGATTTGAAACGTATTAAGAGATGGGTCGAGAAATCCATAACATTTAAATGATTACTATACAATGCAATAGATGAAATATGGATGAATGATGACATCTCATTTGAAGAGTCTTTTCTTTAGTCTATATTCCTGTGGCTGACACCTGATTCATTAATGGTGGAATATGTATCCATAGATGGCAGTGTGCACCACATCCTGCCACTCATTGTTTTGTCACAGCCGGGGCATTCAATGCTCACTGAAGAAGAAAAAAGAAAAGTAATTAAGACAAATTCTTACTCATGGCTTTGTTAATCAGCTCTTGATCAGTAACTAATGACAATAGAGCCCTACTCGTCTAATTTACTCTAGAATTGTTGGGATTTAAAGACCAACTCACTGCTGCCACTTTTGTGTGTGTGTGTGTGTGTGTGTGTGTGTGTGTGTGTGTGTGTGTGTGTGTGTGTGTGTGTGTGTGTGTGTGTGTGTGTGTGTGTGCGCGCGCAGGGAGCAGATCTTCCGTCAGTCCACAGAGCTGGTGTGCAGAGCCTATGGGGAGGTTTACTCAGCGCTGAGCAACCCAGCTAACAGCTACAAAGACCTGGAGAACCTGCTGCCCAGATCCCCTCAGCAGGTCCAGACCCTGCTGTCCTGAAACACCCTTTTCAAAAAAAGTAGTTGTTAAGGTTGGGTTCTTTGTGGGAAATGTGGGCTGTGAGTCGCTGACCTCAGAGACTCTCCTGTGCCGGGGGAAAAGAACATTAAATGTACATTATCCGTTTACTTTCACTGCTGCAGACAGACGGCTATTTTTCTGTCCTTAAAGCATATGTCTCCTTCCTGTTTTCAGAGCATGTTCTCTCCTCTAAATTTGTAAATGTACAAAACAATGTGTTTTTATTAAAAAAAATGATAATTATATAAAGCAAAAGCTTACATTAAGAGACTCATGTTATTTCCCCCCTCTTCACATTGTGGCTGAATTCATTCTGAGCATTTCTAACAGTAACCACAGAAGTTCCAGCACCAGCGATGCAGGGATGAAATGGAAAATATATCTTACCATGTTTTTTTGTTTTTTTTAAAAGAATGTCCTACCACGTTGAATCAGATGTAATGCTACTGGCTTTAAGTTTTAAGGTAAATGAGGTGCAGATTTCTTTTTTTATTCGCCCTAAGCACAACATTAAGCTGCATAGTAATGTATGATATACTTGTATTGCAATAAATTAATGAATCAGTACTACCGCAAAGTGTCCAATATGTTCACATATATTAATATTTACATGCACACTCAATATACAGTCCATGATACACACATAAATGAACCAAAATACATTTACGAAATTGAATATTTATAGGTTGATCCCACAAATGTGGTATTTTTCATTGATATCGAAAGTAAACTCCCAAGACTAGAAATATTAACTCATGATACCTTATAATATCATATCATGTCGTTGAAACTCTGACACCACTCAGCCCACATAATCCCCAGTAAAGCACCTCTGAAACATTAAAGATAAGTGAATATTGATCCGGTCGGCTGTTATGAGATCTTGCCTGAGAGGCAGCATTTCATTTCTGCAATCTGACATCAGGGTTCTTGGCAGCGCTGGCAGCACTGAGACCCAGGATTTCCCCGGCTCACCGGATGTTACTCGGATATCATTGGCCAGGACATTGAGTACTGGGAATAAATGGAATACCACAAAGTTCAGCATCTGGACGGAGTCTTAAGTCCTTTAAATAGACCCGCTCTCTAGTCCAGTTCTGCTTGGCTCCGGTCGGATACAAGCTGGATTTTGGGGTGTTTTTACTCTGCACTCTTTGGTGGAAAGTTGGGTGGTGTTTGAGAAGCAGGATCAAAGAATAACAGCATAATGTTCGTGTGTAACAATACGCACAGTGCACGCCCTCACTTACTCAGCTGCAAATCAGTTGTGTGTGAGTACATGTGATCCTGCACAGTTCAGCACGTGAGAGCTTTTTCCTGCCGGTGGCTGTAATAATGAGTTAGCAGATGTGAGAGGTGTCACCACTTAGAGGCAGGTAGTGGTGAGCAGGCTGGCAAACATTCATCCCATCATCCGCTCCATATGACAGCGGTCACCAAGCTTTTGCCTGATGGAGCATGAGACCAGCAGGAATCTGGGTTAAAGGACAATATTGAGGGTTTTTTCCTCTTGCTCCAGAAACTGAAGATTATTGTCATCCAGAGCCAACGAATTGAGTCTCAAAAAATGGCCTACGGAACTAATTATGCCCTTTTCGTACAGGTTCATGCTTAGAAATGTCATGAGATGCTTCCTCGAACATAAAATAAATAGCTCCTCGAAGTAGGATTTAGCTGTTCAACATCAGGAATATCGCTCGCAACAAAGGGATGCTGCTTTAAAGAATTGAATTGGATAGACACAATTCAAATAAATAACGAATTTGGGAAAAGCTCCTTTTTATTTTAGCTTCCAATAATTGTAGCATGCATCTAAAACAATTTCCAAAACTACATTTATAAATTATAATAATAAGACGAGATTGCGTCTACCGCTCAGTCAACATGTCTTTAATTAGCTATTTAAATGAAATGCACTCTACTGATTATAATAACCTTTTTATTTTGGTTACATTTATAAACATGACTTTATCAACTGAGTAGAGAAATTCTAATTTGTATAATAGCTCATTTGTCCCTCTATCTGAGGCTACCATCATGTTGCTGACACAGTTTTTCTCGCATTTATTTGAAGAACCCAGGTCAAATACTAAAGTCAGGTTTTCCATAGTGTTAACTCTCTGAATAGATATGTGTGTCAAGACAACACGTTTGCAAATTTCTCATCGAACATAACCAAACACTTAAAAGTAGAAGGGACATAATATAAGAACTTAAATTGGTAAGGTATGAAGAGGAAATAGGTCAATACACACTCTTAATTGGTAACCCCAGATGGACTAAAATGATAAGAGATTGTACAGAAGGAATGACGAAAGAATTGACTTTGTAACGTAAACTACAAAGTTAGAGCCCTGTAGGGTGTGTAATATCAAAATGTTATCTGTGCCTCAAACTGTGCTCTACATGCAGATGATGTACAGTTGCATCACAGCCTGTTGCCTTGGTAAACTTTGAACACAAATTCTGCAAGAGGAGATGTGTTTATCCCCGGAAATCTAATTTATCCTGTGTAGCGTGGCCTTAGTCAATACTTGGAAAACACTTTGTTTTTATATTTCATCATCTCAACCAAATTCTTAGTTTGTGTAGAGCCGCTAACATGAGCCTATTAGGCCCATTTGAATAAAGACATTAATTATGTAACATGCTCTCCATGCTTTGTGCACTTGCCTTTCAATCACGGGGCATGGCCATCCACCTTATTATGAAGCTCAAATATCTCCCGTCTCATATCAATGGGACTCATTATTATTTCTCCACATCTCTTTTATTATTTGGAAAGGTTACATTGTGTCAAACCTCTTTCTCTTTGGAGGCTATTATGTAATATGTCTATTAGCACAGGAAGCGGGACACTGTGAAGTACTGACCTGAATTACTAGTGCAAAGTAATTACATTTATTTTCTGATTCTCTGCTGTTCCCATCACCCTAATCAGCATTTCCTTCAGTGCACTCAGCACTGAATACAGGGCTTCGGAAACTTCAGAACTGCCTGAAAAGTCAGCATGTGCAGCTTGTGATTTTGGCACATAAGACCCAGTTATTAATGCACGTCCATCTGGCTGTGCTATTGACAGGCGTACTCCCTGGCTGACCAGATGCAGGTCCAGGTGGCCTGATAAACAAAGCATATCAGAGACACTAACAGCACAGTGTTTGGCTAGTTGTGGGATGAGAGGAGAACGCAGAGATGACTGGCTCTCTCCTGCCAAAGATTAGCCAATGATGGAGCTGCCTTGCCCTCACGCTGTTGGAAAAGGTTGGACCCCCTGATGGTGCCCCAGAATGCTTGTACAGTATTGCGTGTGGCTGTGGTACTTCATTGTGTAAGCTTTTCCTCCCAGCAGAAACATGTTTGCTTTTGCTTGTATGAACACTTTGTACTGAGTCCTTGGCCGGCCAAGCCAAGCACGTTTGTTTCACTAATGACCAGATCTGTCCTGTGTTGTTGTTGGATTGAACCATTTTAACTGTTTCTTAAGTTGTGTGTTATGATAAAGATTTATTCAGACTAAGTGGTAGTCAGAGATGTGTTTTGACATCACTTCATTGTTTATTTTGAGTAATTTCATGAAAGACGTACAGGTTTTTTACCAAAGACCACCAGGTTTCCACCTTTTCACACTAACAGAATAGAGAACAAGAATATGTAACAAATTCACCGTGACTAATGCCTCTGAGTAATCCAACATGCTGTCAATCATTACTCACACAGAGAGCACTGTCTCCCCTATCATTGGTCTGAATGTGGCCCTGCTGTTCTCTTCTTCAAAGCACGGTCCTGTGACTCCTGAGGCGAGAGACCAGGGCCGGGCTTTGTTAGGCGCAGGACAGGAGGAAAGGCAGGGATGACATGGGTAGAGTTGTTCTTGTCACCGGTCATGGCCTCATACCTGCTCACCCCACTGTCATGTGTCAAGGACAGTAAACAAACATGGCTGTGAGCTCAAGCTAAAGCTGCATACCACACAACTTTGTTTTGATGCCTGGAGGATGATGCAACGGTAGGAGGCTGTGATCCAAAACAATCAATGGTTACAACAATTGCACTCCATCAGTGTTAGTTGACAGTTGAGCATCCACATCTCATCCTCAGATCAATCACACTACCTTTTTTTTATGTTTCTGGTAAAGTCATGGGATCAATGATGTGTAGGTCTCATATCCGCTGTGTTATTGGGATTGCTTTTAGCAATGAAAGGTAAAATAACATGTATTATTATTATTATTGTTATTTAATGACTAAAGTATTACCCAGGATTAAATTGCATCTTTTTTTCAGAGCATCCTTGATCAACTCGTATTACAAGTAGTATTCGCACACCAAAAGAATTGCATTTCTGAGAAACTAACATTTACACTGGAAATAAACATATAAGGTATTTCTAATTCAAGTCTGCATTAAATGTTGAGTAAAAAATTAATCTCTTCAGGAGCCGACGTCGCTTTTATCTTTCCTCACAGGCACAGAGGATGCTTATTGTCAGCCAGGAAGTAAACTTTAAATTGGTCCTGTTTCCTTTGGTTTTACAGTCTAAATTGTTATTTCTTTTTTTTATTCTGAGCATTGTCAACATGGTAGAAGGTTTTTTTTCCTATTGATATTCTCATTTTCTGATATTATGTGAAATCGGACCAGTTTGTGTGAAACTTTAAATATGTGTGTGTGTGTGTGTGTGTGTGTGTGTGTGTGTGTGTGTGTGTGTGTGTGTGTGTGTGTGTGTGTGTGTGTGTGTGTGTGTGGTAGGAGGTGTGGGGTAGGTTGCACAGTAACAGCACTAGAGGCCTGAGAGGGGAAGGAGAGAGCCCCAGTTACTGAGTAACCCAGAGCAGCAGCAGTCCCATACTCACCTTTCCCCTAATAGCCCTTCACCTTCCGAACCACGTGAAGTGGGCCTGTGTGCTGACTCCCCATAGTGTACACACACACACACACACACACACACACACACACACACACACACACACACACACACACACACACACACACACACACACACACACACAGTGACCAAGAATCGCAGCACACACTCACAAGAGACTTAAGTTTCCCTTGACAGCAACAAGCAGCAGCTCAAAGGAGGAATATGTGTCATTTTAACCATCACAAAATGTCCACAATATACTGTTCAAATGAGTATTTATGACGCTTGATTCACTGTGCTGGGATTTACTAACACGCTATACCGTTGGGTGCCTTTGGGCCATGTTTGGTCTTCAACTGTTTGCCGTGCAATTCGCTCAAATGTTATGTTTTTAATTCATGTTGAATTCAGCTGTTTCATAATGATATGCCTTCACCTTCACTTTAGGCCATTGAAAAACAAAACTTAATTTCACCAGGTTCGCCCTTTCATCAGATTTCTATTACTCATACTGCAATGTTCTTTATGACACATAGTGATTACTGACTAACTATTCCCTCCCTTGCAGGCACAGAATGTACATGCATTTTCTGTGATAAAGTGGAACTTTAAACAGAAGGAACGAGGCGATGCATCTGCAGCTCATTCAGCCTGGCTGACAGATTGCCATGAGTGACTATGAAAATCTAAAAACATT